GGCTTTAAAACTGATTTGTTTTGTTCCCTGCTAAAACAAAGTTTGTGAATTCAGTTAAATAATTATTAAAACATATCTGTCATTTGTTTGTTTTTAGTTTTCTTCCTGTATGGGAAGCTTTTCAAAATTTGAAACATTAGTGCAGTGGTTTATGTTAAAATAAACCTTTAGGTAAAGTTGTTGCTAGCAGGTTTTTCTTGGGTTTCTTGTGAATTTGGTCTTAAATTTTTATTTCAAGTGGCATTAAAAAGTCTAGAATTTAACTTGCCTTATGCTGTAGGAACCCTCGGTTAATCCATTAGTTTAGTGTGAAATGTTTATTTTCGGGTTTAACACATCGGTTTTAGATTTTAAATATAGGTTAAAACAACAATGGAAACATTTCATCTAAAATAAGAAGCTTTATCTTTTATTTAAGGAGAACGTTCCTCTTTTTCGGCAGATTTCTTTGCTGTGATCCGATTTCTTCTATTCAATTCAATTCAGTTTATTTCTATAGCGCCAATTCACATTCAGATCAAATCAAGTTTCTCTTTTTGAATGAAACCTTAAAACCTGCATCCTTCCCCTTGGAACAAAAGGAGGTTTTAGGCGGTAATTATATAACGATAGTGCGTTGGTGTTTGTACCTGCTAAACATTGAACAGGAAGTGGCGTTAAGACTGCGACGCTGTGTTCCAGGTTACCAGTGTGAATATAAGAAGCGGACAGGAAAGAAACCGGATGGCTGCGCCGTCATCTTCAAAACCTCCCGCTTCTCCCTTCTCTCCTCCACCCCGGTGGAGTTCTACCGGCCCGGCGACGCCCTCCTGGACCGGGACAACGTGGGAATGGTGGTCCTGCTGCAGCCCAACGCCGCCGCCGCCCAGTCCGATCAATCTTCCTTTGTGTGCGTGGCCAACACTCACCTCCTCTACAACCCCCGCCGCGGTGACATCAAACTGGCTCAGCTGGCCATCCTATTGGCTGAGATCGGCCGACTGTCCCGCCTCCCTGACGGCTCTAGAAACCCGGTGGTTCTGTGCGGGGATTTCAACTCTGCACCGTGGAGTCCGCTGTACCGGTTCCTGACCACGGGCTGTCTGGAGTACCAAGGGATGCAGATCGGACTGGTGAGGGAGGCGCCGCCGCTACTGAAACGGTCCTTTTAGATCAGATGTGAAAGTTACGGCACGTTTCCATGTGGAGAAATTAGAAGATTTTTGTTTTTCACGTGTTGAATAATAAAAGTCTGACTGTGTTTTGGTGTCAGGAAGCGTTTGGAGAATAACGCTTAAAATTAGAAGTCTTGTTTCTGTGTTTCTGAAGGTGTCGGGTCAGGAAACCAGCCCCAAAGGTCATCGCGTCTTGACGTCTCCCATCTGGTCTCGCAGTCTGGGAATCAGTCAGCAGTGCCAGTATGAGAGCAGACAGGCGAAGGCGCCTTCTCCCAGCAGCCCCACAGGTTCAGCTCGCTGCAAAGATCCATTAGTCTCATTCTAATCTGAACGTAGCATCAGGTTAAAGTGCGTTTTCCCTCATCGCCGCCGTCTCTGCCTTTCAGCTGTAGATGGAGGAATGTCTAACCTGACCGTAGACGATCCGGCCTCCAGATCCTCTGCTGAATTCAACAGGTAACTGTCATTTTCTTCAGATAAACTATAAAAAATACCCCCAATCCTTAACATATGCTCTCTGCTCATCCGTTTGAACCTGCAGCTCAAGGATTGAGCATAAATTAAGGCTGCAGTCGTCCTATGGGCACCGCCTGATGCCCGACGGGCGACCTGAGATCACCACCTGTCATTCACGCACAGCCCTGACCGTAGATTACATCCTCTACAGCTCAGGTACTACAAATAATTTTCTGGGTGGCTTCCTACTTCTGATGTCACATGACTACGGCTGCCCAATCAGAGAAATCCGCAGCATTATGCAGTCAGAATAGAGAAAACTTTAACCAACGATAAACCCCCAAATTCTTTAGTTGCAGTGCTGAAGTGTGTCCTCCAGGGGGAGCTCCAGAGCAGAATTAATTCAGTGATCAGTTACTGGATTCATGATCTAAAGATCTGACAGCATTAGATACATTTAAATGAGCCTTTTTTTAAGGTCGTCTTTATTCAAATTGGGCTCACAAGTATAGAAAGACAAGCACACAAAAACGTAATATTTTTTTAACTTGTTTTTCCTGCTGTTTTTATTTTTTTTTTTGCAGTGCTTTGGTTCTATTCAGGAAACTATCGACTCTTTGAAAGGTTTTAAATATACTGATAATATTAATATTAGAGATGTCCTGATCCAGGTTTTTGCACTTCCGATCCGATACCGATATTGTTTTTGGACTTCCGATCCGATACCG